GTTCTCATTATCTGGTTACCAGAGTAAAGGAGGCTAAACGGTGGAGGTCCAGAGAGCGTGTCGCTGAGAGAGGAGGGTGAGCTCAGGACTGAGTAGTCCGGAGACTTCTTCTTTGTTCTCTCAGTAGCTCTCTCCTTATTCACTCAACTACTTTTCATTCTTGGTTAGTGTGCGAGGAGAGATGGGACTCGCCACTCCGATTGTCGACACGGTCCCCCCGTCCACAAAGAGAGACTCGCGGACTCGATGTCAGGTTCCTCTCGTTCTTGAGTACCGAGGTGTCGACCTTTTTTTGGGGCAGAAACCAGGTGTAACCTCGGAGGGACAGAGGTATCTCGCGGGGACCTCCTTGACTTCCTCGGGGTGTCGGGTCGACGGACGTCTGGTGGAACTCGTAGAGACCAGTTTCAAGAGTCGGGAGTGTGTGACTCCTGGTTCCCTCCTGCCCAAATACGACCAATCTCAAAGTGGGAGGCAGATGGACTCGTGTCTGACCAAAGGGGGAGTCGTCGGACTTGTCTCAGACGTCTCCTGTCTTCTTATTTTTGACTCTCTCAGTTCTGTGTCTTATTTTCTTCTACTTGGTTGTGTAAGAGATAGGGTTGAGCAGGAATATCACTGCTATACAGTCCCAGGGGACAAGGCAGGTGAAAGGTTGTGTCCCCCGGAAATCGGCAGCTCAAAGTTGCCCGTCCCGTAGGGTAGACTGAAACTGTATCCTCGAAGGGACTTGCATACATCATCTGCCAACCCTAATCCCCACGTGGCTTTACCCATTAAGAACCCACTTGGCTATGGTCTTTTATCCTTTGTCAAACCGCTTTTTGGCTACGGCTTTCCAGGCTTTAATAATTATCTTTATATTATATATATATATATATATATATATAATATTACATATGTAAAAATATATATATATATATATATATATATATATTTACATATGTAAAAAATGGTTACAACAAGTCGACGGACTGAATACCTTTTTATGACTAAATACCGTTTTTGAATCGAATTTATTATTAGTGATAATACCCAGATATTTTGTAAATAAGGTCGTGAAAACTTACGTATGTCATGTAATTAGGTTCAGTTCACGTAAAAGAAAAGAGACATCCCTATTGATGTTGTTTCCACGTAAGTCTTGTTTCGTTCCACGAAATTTTGACGTATTTGTAGATCTGGTCATCCGGATTGTTTTCATCACATTAATTTCTGACATTGTTCGGTCCGGAAGTTGTGTGTTTTACGTGGATATTCAAACCATTGGATTGCACAACAACACTACTGCATTATGTTTTGCGCCGCTGTTCGTGCCGCACGCTGGTACGACGCGCCCGACCGAGTGTCGGTTGTACAGACGACAAACCTTCTATAAAGTTTATACGTCTCTCTTCTCCGCGACCTAACGCTAAACATTTTGCTCAAGTCGACTGTAAAAGAGCTCCCCACATTGACGTTCTGAAAGTGGTGAAGCCCTAATGAGGTGGTGAACTTTAGTTTTGTGGGCCTGTTTATACGCTCATACTAGTTGCATTGGGACAAGAGACTGTAAGCCACTAGTAAAAAAGCCACGGCTTTCGGCTTTCCCCGGAAAAATTGTTAAAGCCGGCTATTAAAAGCCACCGGCTATAAGCCAGTGGCGGGATCAACCCTACGCCGCTTACGAGGAGGAGGTCTAGGGTAAGAGTGTCGCAAATAGTTGGGAAAAAGATTGAGTTATAGTTCCGGTGTGAATAACAAAAATAGTAAGAAATAAATTAACTTAAGTGTACCATCCTGAAAACAACGCAGTCAATAGCCCTCTCATCCCCACGTCTTTTGACTTTAGACATAACAAAGTAGTAAAAAAGCGGAAGATTAAAGACATCAAGTAAAAGATTTGGTGCTGTCGTGTCAATAAATCGACGTTCGTTATTGTGTAGGTAATAGGAACACAAAATAAATAAACAAACTAATTATTTGTGTTCAACCTCACGCGCACGTCCTTCGACATAAAAAAAATCGACCAATAAAAAGTAAAGTTTTAAATTCTCAAGTAAGTGTAATTTGCTGTTATTTGATTATTGTGTACGGTACATTCTCGGGTCTCCGAAACTTTTTTTCTGTTTTCTTACTTTCTCCGTAATTCCCTCGAATAATTTTCCAGGGTACGGAAGGTGACTAGTAGTCAAGGTAACCAACTTCCAGATCGATTTCTTATGCTACATGCTACACAAGTTAACAAGCGTTTGAGGTGTTAACCAAAGAGTACGGTCCGTAGAGACATTACGACACTCAAGTGAGAGACAGAATGTACCGACAACCTCGAGGACGGGGGGAGGGACACTCCGGTCACACGAGACTAACCAGCCCTTTCACTCTCCGAGCAAACGACGCTAGACGACCGCTCCTCGCCTTCGGACAGGCGCAAGGAGGCCGTCGTCTAGCGTCGTTGCTCCGGGAGACGCCGCTATGTCGCTCTTCGTTGCGGATTGAGGTACGGACTCGTGTGTTTGTGAGTGTTCGCTTGTCATTTTTGTTAATCACGCGCGGCGAGTAACTCATTCTTTTTCCAAACTATTGCCGACACTCGTACCCAGACGCCCCGTAAAGAGGGTGCGTAGGGGTTGATAATGGGCTTTTTTTGCAATTGCGTAAATTTGACAGGGCACCATCTATTAACAAACAAAATTTTGGGTAGTATTTTATGGTGGTTTGTTTGTACTTATGAAGTCCGCTCACTGTTCGGTTGGTTCTCCAGTGAAGTCTAGCTTACATTATAGTCTGGACCTGAATACTGACTGCTGGATGTAAGAGATACAGCAGCTTCTCCTACGGTCTGGAAACATGTCAGGCCACATATTAAAGTCTCTCCAGTGGCCTCTGGAGAGACTTTAATATGTGGCCTAAGTGGCTTCAAGGTTCAGGTCTTTACAGAGTGTTTGCTGACTTCTAGAGTCTTCTTCTGTAAGACTACTTTTTATTTTTCTTCCCAAGTGTTTGAAGATGACGCTTTAGCCGCCACAACATATCCAGTTCATAAGGATACCAGACTCCTGACAACTTATTATTCCTTCACATATTTTTCCACAGCAACTGGTTGATTGTCTAATCAGTTCTAGTTTATATTGGAGTATCAACATGAGTGCTATCAGTTTAATGTAACTAATACAGCTATGTATTATAAACGACTCCATGTTGCAGTGATTTCAGGGTTCAGGTCTCGACAGAGTGTTTGCTGACTCTTGATGTGATGCTGTCCATGTGTTCCATCAGATCCAGAACCTTTCATCATCCGAGCCGTCGTCCTGCCGCTGATTCTGCTGCTGCTGCTGGTGACCGTCGGCCTTTACTTCTACTGTAAGGTACGGAAACATGTTGTTGTTCCACTGACTGAATGATGAGGGACTGAAACATGTTGTTGTTCCACTGACTGAATGATGAGGGACTGAAACATGTTGTTGTTCCACTGACTGAATGATGAGGGACTGAAACATGTTGTTGTTCCACTGACTGAATGATGAGGGACTGAAACATGTTGTTGTTCCACTGACTGAATGATGAGGGACTGAAACATGTTGTTGTTCCACTGACTGAATGATGAGGGACTGAAACATGTTGTTGTTCCACTGACTGAATGAAACAGTGTGTGTTATTGAACAGGAGTGATGCAGGAAGTCTCAGTGTGTGCTGTCATGTCTCTCCAGGCCACCAGGGGGCGGAGGCGGGGTAGACAGGAGGACATTGAGCTGGATAACCTGGGTGTTCCTGCAGAAGAGGAAGGAGCTCCGGGAGCAGAGGAGCACCTCCAAAGACCTCCTCACTCACACATTTCAACAAGCATTCAAAGCTCAGTTTTATCAAATGGTGTGAGAAGTTTAGCCAGAAATGTGGCTTAAAAACTATTATAATACAAATTAAAAACAAAAATTAATACTTCCAACGATTTTCGTGTTTCAGGATTTTTCAAGTATTTTGACATTTTTGTAATTAACGAATGTTTTTTTATTTCATAAGAATTTTGCTAAGTTTTTCTATGAAGTTGAAGGATTAAATGATGTCCTATTTGCTGTAGTTTAGTAATCAAGTTTTGCGCTTATTATATATCATTAAGGATTTGTTTTATTTGAGTTGTAATTCATTCATGTAACCTGCGTCCCTCCCTCCTACCTGCCTCCCCTACACTGTTTGTGGGGGCTTTTTAAGAATTCTGCCCATTTTTGTATTTTGCCACTTTCCTTAAATCCATGCTTAATGCTGTATCACATGTTGTTTACTATGTGACCAAAAAAACAATAAAATTACTTTAATAATCCAGAAAGCTATTTGGATATTTATTCATGGTTTTCTTCTTGTTGGAATATTTTCTTTAAAACTTTCTTTGCATGTGCCATATCATATATCATATATAATAATTACTCTGCATGACCCCCAATATCATATGTCATTATTGTTACAACCCAGATCCAAAATGATTTAGTGGGCCCAACCTGCTTATCTTCTGCTGTATCTAATGCTGCGTTCACACCGGACCTGCGAAGACTCGTGTAGTTGGACGCAGGGGACGGCGATCCCCCGCGTCCAACTACCACTACACCACTGATTTATGGTAAATAATATAGTAAAATAATTGCTCTGCATGACCTGTTTGTTCAAAGAGGAGGCTGAGCTGCATACATTTATATAATCTTTACCTCCCTACCTACCAACGTCTTTTAAAAAGTACATACAATACAAGTGTCTCTGCATTGACTTTACATGTAATCGCGCCACCCCCAAATCGCATCGCGTCCGGTGTGAACGCAGCATAAGAGGTTACTATCCGACAAGTCATCCGCAACTTCTATCTTATTTAATTAGTCATTAAGAGACATTTCAACTCAATCCTTGGACTTTGTGGAACTGGGATTGACATTTTTCAATATCTTCTGGAATCTTATAGACATAACCATTCATTGATGATAAAAAAACAACTCTCAGATTAAACTACTTGTTTCAGATCCAGTGAAAACGATATATTTTTGATCAGCTGCTTTTTATTTGTTTTCTTACAAAAGAAGTTTAAATAGAAATCGTCCAACAGGTGAAGCTTCCCAACACTTCCTTCAAACGGTCCTCTCAGGATCCAGCTGTGTGTGTATGTGTGTGTGTACGTGTCACTGTGAGGCGGGGGGGGCAAACATCTGCATGGTCTCCAGGACGAGCGACAGATTATCCAGGAAAGAGTTCACAGAGACCCGGAGGATCCGAGCCTCGTCAGCACTCCACCTCCTGAAACACAGAAGAAGAAGGAGGAGGTTAGAGTGTGTGTGTGTGTGTGTGTGTGTGTGTGTGTGTGTGTGTGTGTGTGTGTGTGTGTGTGTGTGTGTGTGTGTGTGTGTGTGTCTCCTCACACAGTCAGCGTCCTGTCCGTCACCATCAGCTGTTTGTCGATCCCTCCCTTCCTGGGCTCTCGGTCTGGAGACAGAGAGCCCAGAGCGATGGAGGCGTCTCTGGGGGAGGGGAAGGGGACGTCCAGCCGGCTGAGGGGCGGGGCTTAGGCTACAAACAACTAACTTCATCACAAACATGAAGATCAAATACCTTTTAACCCCCAGTAGGGACATCTAGGAGCCACAGCAGCAACAGATAAGAGTCCACACGATTCAAATTAGACATACGGTACGGTCTACTGTGTATTTTCTACTTTTTAATAATGCTTTCATTCTATTTTGAGAAGCTTGAATTCTAGTATTGTTTTTTTCTACTTATGTGCAATGCCTTGTTTTGTTTTGTTGTTGTTTTTGCTGACGCTCCGTTACACATAAGCTAACTACTCGTCTAATCAGCCAAGTGTACTTTAGGTGCTCAGCAACATGTACTTCTGCAGTATTTTCAATCCACCTTCCCTGGCTCTCAGTACAAACCCCTCCTCCTCACGTACAATTCTCTCCTCGCCCCCCAGTACTCGGCGGACCTCCTCCACCCCTCACCATGACCTCTCACAGCCCCCTGCTTCCACTCCTACTACCTATTATTTGTTTTGTTGTCTGTCTTTAACTCTTGTAAAGCGGCCTTGGGTCCCTTGAAAGGCGCTATATAAATTAAATATATTATTATTATGAGCAACATTTTACTAACTTTTCTATTGATTGATTATATCGTCTTTTTTTTTTTTTTGTGTTCCTTGTACGGCGACATTGAGAGCCTTGAAAGGCGCCTATATACATCAAATCTATTATTATGACTTCCATATCTCTAACTGTCTTGTCTCTATGTCTGAGCTTATTGCTTGTCTTTGTTCTTTTGGAAGCCTACTTGAGATTAGACGGTGTTTCAGGTTTTAATACACAAAGTCTCATTCTTTATTTATAAACCCCTAATAGATGGCAATAAACTGAATGAACTTGTAATAACAGCTTTAATAAAACATTCAGACATTCAGCTCACTAACAGACCCTCTTACCCCGTTTCAGAACCAGTCAGATCCATCTCACACTTAGATTTAAATACTCATTAAAGTCAAACATGATATATTATTCTCCATGAATCCCAGCGAAGCTAACAGAAACATGTAGCATTAAGCTCATGAAGGAAAGCTAACAGGGCGTTGTTTAAACCAGTAAACACTAGAAGAAGACTTTGCACTACAGATAAGATTTAAATATTAACATTATGAGCAGATTTAAAGGATACAACTGCAGTTTCTCCGGTTCTGGATTCATTTCTCTGTCCGTCGCCGCCATCGTGTTTGTTTACAGAAAGTCAATAAAGCAGCACTTCCGGTTGGAGATTTAACTAATGAAGCGCTGCTGCCCCGGAGCGGCGGAGGGCGGTACTGCAGCCAGGAATATTAATAATAAATATGATTATTCATATTATCATTATTATCATAACAGTAATGATAATAATGAGATAATCTTAATATTTTTCTAATGAATATAATATATGTTTAGTACAGTAAAACACTGCAGATTATTTGACTTATTTAAATAAAAGCAGCGATACCACGATAATAAATTGCCTTAAAAAATATATAACATTAGCAAAAAGTACTTTATGCATCACATAAAAAATAAGTGACATTTACATATGTCATAATAGTTTTTTTAATACAGTTTAAACCCTATTAATAATAATAATGATTCATATCAATATTATTTTTGCTTGTTATGAATTAATACAAATGTTTTAATGGTCTCTGATTTTAATTTGACTATAACATAATAGCATATACTTTAATGTATTGTCTGCTTGCTTTTAACTACATGTGTGTACACTTTAAGCTGCAGCTATGAATTCTGAACAGACCTTCAAAATAAAACTTGCGGAGCGACTTTTACTTTGTAGGAGTGCTGTCAGAATCAGCTGCGGAGCTCCGACTCTTCTTCTTCTTCTGCTGCTGCGGATCATTCCTGCTTTAAAACAACCCGAGGACTCACCGGTATCTTCTTAACCATCCAGGAGGCGAACAGTCAATATCTTTAGATTGAAACAGACAGATTTAAACGGCTCGGAGCTCCTTCCTCGCGCAGAGATCCGGACTCTCAAAGAAAAGTGAGTAACGATCATTTCATGCCGTGAAGCTGCAGATAAAGACTTAATATTCAGGATCAAATATCACTCTGAGCTTTAGTTGTGCAACACACTTCCAGAAGTTCATTTTAATGTGTATTCTTTTATTTATAACATTGTATTACTATTAGCTTTATTATTAATAGTGTTGTCTTTTATCGCATATATTTTTACAAGATGTATTTGATCATATACATTTGTTTTACTAAATCTGTCAGAGATAAATGTATTGCTATAAAAAAAGTACTGTGTCTATTTCCCTTTGAGAAGTAGAAGTAGAAGAATATAAGGTTGCATGGAAATACTCCAAAAAACTAGCTCTGTGTATTTTCCTCTCCTCCTGTGTAGTACTGCAGTCCCTGTGTACTTGTATTACTGCAGTATATCTCTGTACTTGTACTGAAGTATCTCTGTGTACTTGTACATGGCGCAGTGTAAAGGCACTCTGAGGGACCTGCAGCTGTAACTCTTTGTGTATTTTCCTGTAGTACTGCAGTATATCTGTGTACTTGTACTGCAGTCCCTGTGTACTTGTACTTTAGTACTGCAGTATCTTGTGTACTTGTACATGGCGCAGTGTAAAGGCACTCTGAGGGACCTGCAGCTGATACTCTTTGTGTATGTTCCTGTAGTACTGCAGTATCTTGTGTACTTGTACATGGCGCAGTGTAAAGGCACTCTGAGGGACCTGCAGCTGGCTCTGCAGCTGAAGATCGAGGAGCTGAGACAGAGAGACGCTCTGATCGATGATCTGGAGCTGGAGCTGGACACCAAAGACGATCTGATCCGCCTCCTGCAGGAGGAGCTGGACCGGCAGCGGGGGGGCCAGCAGAGCGGGGGG